GTGTGAACAGGGTGGGGGACTCAGAGCAGCATCAGGGTTGTCAGTCAATTATAATCACTCCAGCAGGAGATCTGAATGATATATTTTCATGGCCACCACATACAATCAGCCAAACCTTAAACCTGAGCACCATAAATGACAAGTATCAACTCTAAAAGTTTATTGGTATTAGTAAAGGACAGAAAAAAAAAATAGTCAAGAGACAGCCTCCCTAACCAAGCTCTAGAAGAGAAGGCTACAGTTTGGAATTTCAAAAAAATATATATTTAAAGGAAAATTTTCTCTCCCTGGAAGGCTACTCCTATTCTTTCTTCAAATCCTGCTTTAATATCAGAAAAGGTATTCCCAACATGTATATTCAACAAAGGACTCATATCTAGGAAATATATAAGCAAAAACAAACAAACAAAACACCCACAGACAACCAGTAGAAAAATGTACAAAACCCTTGAATAAGCCCTTCACAAATGAGGAAATCCAAAGACCTGATGATTATGTGAAAAGGCCCTTAGCTTCATTATAAACCAAGAAAGTGAAAATTAAAATCCCAAACATACCAAAATGTCTCAAGTTCAAAATATTGACAATATTGAATATTGGCAAATTTATGGAGCAGTGGAATTCATACACTGCTGGAAGGAGTGCAAATTGGTACTACCAATAGCTTTTCATCATCTACTTAAGTTGAAAGAACACACATATTCTATGGTTTAATAATTTAATTCCTAGATAACTATTCAGCAAAAATGTATTCCAGAAGACATATATACAAGAGTATTTATAGCAGAGCTCTTCTTTCTTTTGTAACTGAATCACTGTTTAAAATTTTAAATTATTACTTTTATTTTTAAATTTTTATTGAGTTTATTAGGGTGACATGGATTAATAAAATTATATAGGTTTCAGGTGTACAATTTTATAATACATCATCTGTATATTGCATTGTGTGTTCATTAACCCAAGTCAAGTCTCCTTCCATCACCATTTATCCTCCCTTTACCCTCTTGTACTTCTCCCCATCCCTCTTTCCTCAGATAATCACCAAACTGTTGTCATCACAGACAGTCCTCTCTCTCTCTCTCCTCTCTCTCTCTCTCTCTCTCTCTCTCTCTTCTCTCTCTTCTCTCTCTCGTGTTTTGCTTAATTTCATCACTTTTTTCACCCAGCCCTGTAACCCCTCTTCCCTGGCTCTCTTCTTGCCTCCCAGTATTTTTCCTGTGACTCCCATTGGTGAAAAGCATCCTGAAACCAGAGGCAAAGAAGTCTGGTAACTGCCTACTGAGATACATAAGAGGCAGAAGGTGAGGAATAAATGCGACAGCAGATACCCAAGTGATTGGCTCAGCATTTCAAACTCAACCTGACCAGAAGCCACATACTGATGACCCCTCTCCAAGCTTTCTTCACCCAGTAATCTTCCATTTCACAGTTGGTGGGAATTTCAACCTTGCAATTACTCAGTCTAACCTTGTAATCATCTTTGAAGTCTCTTTTTCTTTTACATCCTATATCTACTGTGCCAGGAAATCATGCTGGTTTTACCCTCAGAATCAGGACCAAGAAATAAAGATGGAAAAATAGTAGACATGCCAAAGCATAAACATAAACAACAAAGTAAATAGTGACATAAGATACTAAGGTGAAGTTTCACTTGGGTAGCATATAAAAGGCTTGAATAATTGCTTTAGCTTAGGATTTATAAATAGCAGCACTGATCACATTTTGGGCAGGATATTTCTTTGTTATGGGTGACCTGTGCATGGGAGGATGTTTAGCAGTAACCTTGGCCTCTACCCAGTAGCAACCCCCCAAAGTTGTGACAACCAAAAATGTCTCCAAACATTGTCAAATGTCCAGGGGAGGAGACCACCAACAGCTCTCATATTGCGAATCACCACGTTAGCTGATAGGAATAGGAAGTAGGTTTTCTGAGTAACTCATTAAAAACATTTTTTAAAACTTTTTGGTCGGTGTTTTTCTGCCAACTGATCTGTCCCAGAACTACTCTTTGGTTGAGATGTTAAATGTTTTATATAATAGTATTTTCCAGTTCTTTTTAATTATTAACATAAGCACAACTCAGCCAGCATTTATTTTGTAACTTCTTTTGAGTGAAATTAATGATTTATCAGAAATATTTTCCCTTTTGGTAAGATATTTAAATTGCTTAATCATTTGGAATGATTTTGTTACTATGAAGCTTTTTGTGTGGTAGCCAATCTTTATTTCTTTAATGATGTTAGAGAAATAGAGTTAAATACTAGTGTCCATGTACTCACTTTTCAATAATTTCTTATATAAAATTGAGAGGAGCCACACATCTAATATGAATTATTTTGTTTAGCACTGACTCCCCCCCCCTCCCTTTTTTTAAAGGCAAGCAAACAAACAAAAAAACCTTTACATGGGAGTCTGGAATCCTTCAAGGTTCTTTTAAAAAAAAATGTCCAGGAGGTTGTAAGGACAAAAATTAATTAGCACTGCATCTAACAATCCCATCTGACAATGGCCTAAACCCAGGGGCCCCTGATAGCCCAGTAGCTCACAACCTGGCAGCTGACTTTGGGCAGGTTTTGCAGAAAGAAAGAGAAGGTCTCTACCCAGGATCTTCTGGGAGTGATGCAGGTGGTCATAGTTATTTTTAAATAGAATTGTTTTGTTTCTGAAGAAAGCAAATCAAACTTGGAATCAGGAGACTAGTCACAGGTTACAGCACAGCCATCTGTGTGAACCTGTTGTCAAGTCTCCCTTCTTGGGTGTGTGTGTGTGTGTGTGTGTGTGTGTGTGTGTGTGTGTGTGTGTGGTGTTGTTTTTGTTAATGTGATAACTTTAGGTTCCAGGAGCCAGGAAGATTACATTTCCCTGGAGAATCACCTAAACTTTAACCTGTCTCTGACCTCAGGAGGGAGGGTTTTCTCATTGGAAGGGAGATACAGTTCAAAGAAGAAAAATGAAAACCGTTTTAAGTTTTATGGCTGTAACAGACAAATTCTCTTCGATCTGAAATAACTGAAGGAGTCTAACGACAGGATGCACTCAAATAAATCTTGAGCCAACAACAGGATCTTTAACCGCCCTCTCCTTCCTCTTCCGCCACGCCTCCTGAGTACTTGTAACCATTCCCAACTCACTGCAGAGCGCGTGCAGGCTCACAGGCCCGGACTCTCCCAGGAGCGTCGCTAAATAGCAAACAGATGCCCGAACGCCCTAAGCCTCCCCGACCAGGGCACCGCCTGGGAGACGAGTTCCAGCCGGCTGTTTCCCAGTGGAAAGGTTGGGCGCCGGATTGTCTTATTCTCTTTGCTTAAAAGAGGCCAGTTTTGCCCTAACTGGTTTGCTCAGTGGTTAGAGCGACGGCCTGCGGACTGAAGGGTCCCAAGTTCCATTCCGGTCAAGGGCACGTGCCCGGGTAGCGGGCTCGATCCCCAGTAGGGGGCGTGCAGGAAGCAGCCGATCAATGATTCTCCATGAGGAAGCAGCCCATCAATGATTCTCTCTTATCATTGGCGTTTCTATCTCTCTCCCCCTCTCCTTTCCTCTCTGAAATAAATTATAT